ATTACATTCAATAAAGACATGTGCAAAGTATTACTCCTAGGAAGGAAATTCACATATACAACGTATGGAATCAGTGGTTGCAAAACTGCAGAAGAGGATCAGAGGATTTTAGCGGACCACAAACTGTATGCAAGTTAATAGGAGTGGATTTATTGAGGAGTACAGTGCGGCAGTTACACTCTCCTTTGATTCCTGGTCCACCCAGATTTTAAAACCCACTGCCTAGCAGTGGCAGCTGCTTTCACATTCAGGCAGCAGTGAAGGAATCAATTGACTAGCTGGTACTGGTAATATAGCTCATACTTCACAGTCTTGCAGGCTGTTTATTAACTCTTGCTAAAAATATTCATGTGGGTATACAAATAATGTTTAGCGAGGCATTGTCAAGATGCTCAGGAAGGCTAGCTTTTGTTTTATGTATCTGAAAAAAAATGCACATTTAATTCTAAAGAAACAATAACCTTTGATTATTTTTGCCTAGTTTGTTTATACATAATATATGATAAAACAAATTAGCACATATTCCAAAAATTATATGTTTTTGCTTCAAACTTAAACTAGTATATTAGTAAAGCTTCTTGTTTCTTTTTAACTGGAGGAAAATTTGTATTGTGTTATGTGATAATGCACTGCACCATCCACACACCTTTTCAAAATCCTAGATCCACCCATATGAGTTAACAGTGGGATCGTGTTGTGAATGTCATTCTGGGATGTATAAACAGGAGTTACTCTAACTGTAGTCTCAATAGCACAGACTATTCAGTCCTGTTTTGGACATGATACTATAAGAAAGATGCCTTTAAAATTGGAGAGATTATAGAGCAGAACAACAAAAGTGCTAAGAAGTTTGAAAAATGAGACTCAAGGTAAAAGGTAGAAAATTGGATTAAATTAGTCCAGAAAAGAGAAGACTAAGAGGGGCCATTACATTCTTCACATACATAAAAAGTTGTTATAGTATGTGATCAGTGGGTGGTGATCAGTTTTTTTCCAATAATAATAATATTTTCCATGTCTACTGAAGACAAGAAGCTTATTGGCTCAATTTGCAACACAGGAGAATTGGGTTAGATATTAGGGAACACTTTCTAACCATATTACAGTTGCATTTATATAGACAGTTATATCAAATGTGTTAGTCTAAGTACCTTAAACATTCAGTAGCTGAGTAAAGGACATTGTGCAAATCCACGAAGGAACCAGATTGTCCCTGTTCAGTTATGGCCTGCATCTTCTATCTAGTCACTGCTCTAATAGGTAGAATGAAAGAGGGCTCACTTAAATTTATTTGCAACACCTCTGACATGACTGATTTTTAGGTAGGGTTGAGGTGGAAGGTCAAAACCCAGGGGATGAAATGTTGGACCTGTCACAAGAACTGCTTAAAATTTATTCTTGCCACCTGGCATGCCAGATGCAGATGACATTAAAATTCCTTAGAGGAACTCTCTAAATGGGGTGCCCTGAGGAACCAGATTCACCTCCATGCAGCATTGGTCAGACCACAGCTGGAGTACTGCATCCAATTTTGGGCGCCGTACTTCAAGGAGGATGTTGATAGACTCGAGAATGTCCAGAGGAGGGCCGCTTGTATGGTTGGGGGCTTACAGGACAAGCCCTATGAGGAGAGACTGAGGGACCTGGACCTCTTCACCCTCCGCAAGAGAAGGCCGAGGGGGGATCTTGTGGTCACATACAAATTCATTAGGGGGATGCAGCAAGGGATTGGAGATGCTCTGCTCACCAGGGCGCCTCTTGGGGTAACATGGAATAATGGACACAGACTGACAGACAGCAGATTTAGGCTAGATATCAGGAAAAATTTCTTCATGGTAAGGGTGGCCAAAATTTGGAATGGGCTTCCAAGGGAGGTAGTGCTCTCCCCTGCCTTGGGGGCTTTAAGAGAAGGCTGGATAGGCATCTGGCTGGGGTCATCTGACCCCACTGCCTAGGCAGGGGGTTGGACTCGATGATCTGTTGAGGTCCCTTCCAACCTTAGCATCTATGGATAGATGGCATTTTTAGTGTCTGAGCATTGGTTGGTCAGGTTGTTTCTTGTCTTACCTCAGCAAGGCCTTGGTAACCTATTCCTTCAAAGTCAAGGTATCAAGGAGTGTCAAACCTCTCTGGACCTGTTCGTGATGCACCTACTAATGCACAACAGAGTGCGGTTAGCTCTGCTAATTACTTCATCTTGGAGTCAACAACGACTCTGAGGTCTGTGTAACCATCTATGGCACAGCTGTTCAATTTGTTTATGAGAATAGAATGGGATACCATGTTGAAGTCCAAGTACATGACATCTACCTCGACTCCTACGTCTAAGCATTTAGTGACCTAGTCATAGAAAGAAACACGGCTAGTCAGGCAGGATCTACCTGCTATGAACCCGTGCTGGTTGCCCTTCAGCTTTATATTACCTGCACTCCTACGAATATGATCCTTGACAATTTTTTCCAATGGTTTTTCCAAGGATAGAGGTGAGATTAACCAGTCTATAGTTACCCAGATCCTACTTCCTCCCCTTCCTGAAAATAGGTACCACCATTGGGCCTTTTCTAGTCCTCTGGGACCTCACCTGAGCACCATGAGTTCTCAAACAGTTGTGCCAATGTTTCTGCTATGACACTAGCTAATTCTTTTAGCACCCTTGGATGAAGCTCATCCGGTCCTGCTGACTTGCACACAAAAGTGTCTCTTTACTAGATTGGCGCTGACAGTTGGTGGACTGGTGTTCCTCCTGCTTCTGTCAGTAATGCATTTGGGAGATTTATTCATGACCAAGAATACAGAGCCAAAAAAACTCATTGAAAAGCTCTGCTTTGTCCCTCCTATCTGTCACCAACTGTCCTTGTCTAGCCTGTAGGGGTCCTATGCTGTCCTGCGCCACCTTTTTTCTCCCTATATACCTGAAGAAGGACTTTTTGTTGTCCTTAATTTTTGCTGCCAGCCTAAGTTCTAATGCTGCTTTGGCCTTCCTGATTCCCTGCAAGTGCAAGCCAAGGAGGTATACTCCTCCTTGGTAGCTACCCCCTGCTTCCACAGCCTCTATGCCCCTTTTTTGCCCCTAGGCTTTCCTGGATTTCCCTGTTTAGCCAAGAGGGCTTCTTGGCCCCTTTGCCCCCTTTTCTACACAGTGGGATTGCTTCCTTGCGAAACAACCATGCTTCCTGGACTCCCCATTTTCTCAATGCTCTTGAGCTTTAATGCCCCACTAACTAATCTCCTAAGCACACTGAAGTCAGCGTTTCTGAAGTCTAGTACTTCTGTCCTGCTGGTTACTTTTCCCACCTTTTGCCAGATAGTGAATTCAGTCAATTGATGGTAAATATCCCCTAGGTTACCTTGTACCTGCAGATCCTTCACCAGGTCATCCCCTGTAGCCAGCACCAAGTCCAGCAAGGCTTTCCCCCTAGTGGGATTGTATACCTCCTGCATTAGGTGGAGGTCCTGTATGCAGGTTAAGAACCTACGTGAATGGTTAGTTCTGGCTGACTGATCCTCCCAGCAGATGTCAGGGTAGTTTGGGTCACCCATGACAACTGTATCTCTTGGCCTCTGAGAGCTGCCCAGAGAATATGTTATATGCTTACAGCATGTTTGCTAAAGTGTAAAGATTTAGTCATTTCAAGGGGTGGAGTTGACATGCTAAATCCTCACATTTTTGCTTGCTCAGTATTTAGCAAGGAAGCTTGTGGTAGTTGTTCACTTTAGGCACCTTATTAGCCACTAGAGAGCATAGTTTTCAGCCACATCTAGCCACCCAACCACTAGAACCGTATTTTCACATAAATATCCGTATCCAAGACAGCTGCATTGCAAATGCATCGAACATACATGGAACTTTGGGAGATGAAGCTGAAAATTCCAGGCAGAATCTGCCACTCTGAACAAATCCAAGCCTATAGTTATATAAATGGACATACATATACCATTACAACGAGAAATTTCCAAAAACAAATTTTCTCTGCTATTCTACAAGTAGGTCATGTGGAGGGGAAAAAACTCTGAATAGATGCATCCCTCTGATGTGAACAATGGATTGATACAGTAATCCCAGTGGAAAAGTATACTTTTGCTCCAAGTCTAGAGCATTTACTCTGTTAATTAAAAATGGTCATGTAAGCCAATTAAGTTGTACTTGGCAAATAAAGCTGCTTTTTAAGAAACCAAGATGAAGACTATAAAATTATCTTGACATCTATGAAAGGTGAGTTTGAAAAGTTGCCAAAACTAGAGGTCACTGTTCAGTTTATCATGCAACCACAGATATTCTCAGAAATACTTTTAAGGCACAGGAAATGGCATGACATTTCTAAGCCTGTACATATCAACTATGAATTTTGAAGAGTTTAAAGTATCAATGATTAGGTCCTCAACTGCTGTCGGTTGGCACAGTTCCATAAACAGTCTTTTTTTTCTATGTTTGCCCAGTGCCTGGTACAATGGGATCAGGCTCCGTGAGTGAGATTTCAGGGTACTGCCATAGTGCTAATACCCGAGACATCTGTGGAACTAAACCAGCTGTGGGTTTGGTGTTAGGTTTTTTCTAAGCGTTGTCTATTCTTTGTTTGCTAATAGCACATACAGGATGGAATGAGAAGCACACAATTTTCTTCAGACTTAGAAATGTGGAGCTAGCCCTAGTCTGATGTCTCTGTGTTATTACCCCTCAGTAGGATACACCACAATAATACACATACATTAGACACCATGACCGAGGAGGAAGAGTTTGGCTAGGGATACACAAACAAGCTACTACAAAGTATGAGAAAGTGTGAATTTACAGCACCTGAGCTACTCTGTGGCAACTGTCCACGTGCACCTTCTTAAGTTACCTGGGCACACTTTAAGCAATTTCACATCCTAGTTTACCTAAAAATAAACCTGTTAATGTGCCCTTGCTCTTTGTTTTTCCAAGGCAATTTTGGAAGTGTGGAGAGTTTATAGTAGATAATTGAAGGCTTCTTTTCTATGTTATTTTTTTCTTCCTTTTATTGTTTTTAGCTATAGGCAGAAAGTCAAACTAGAGTGTTAGTTTTGCAGCAAACTACAAACTACAATAATTTCTCTGAAAGCAAGAAAAAGGCAAGAACTGGCAGCTGCAGTACAAGTATAAATTCAGCATTATATAGAGTATGTCACAACTTCTTTACACAAAAAAACAGAACTTTTTCCAGTACATACCCACACTCGAATTTAACTGCTTATACAAGGACAATTTAGCTGGTGGTATGTAGCCAAGTGAAGTGTGAGATTTACTTTATGGACTAAACAGTATATGAAATATGGGTACAGCAAGTCAGAAATCAATACAGAGCTACATTTTAATGCATCATGGCTTCAGACCAAAAACAATTGCTTTTTTCTCCATGAGCAGAGCAAGTTTAGAAAGAGATAATTCTTCCAAATTCTTTCCATTTCTCCGTGACCAAATCCCATACAAATGGAATCCTACATGCTGCATGTGACACATGATTTTGTAATACTAACCATTTTGAGTCAAAACTTGAAAAAACACAACACATCCTATAATCCCTACAGTGCTTTGTGTTTTGGTCTGCTACCCAAAAAAGATTAGGGCACTTGCCAACATGATCCCAGTCCATCATCCAGATTCAGTTTAAAATAGGTAGAAGGTTAATAGCAGAGAAACAAAACCTTAAGATGGTGGCTACATATACCTGGAAGCTGGATGTAAACTAGTAAAGTTTTGGTGTCAACAGAACTGAATGCATTTCCACTACATGAGAATCAGGCCTGAGAAACTTCAATAATACTACAAATAGGAGGGGGACATCAACAAATACTTATTTCCAGTCTTTCCAGTTAAAGCCAAAGATTACTTTGAAGACTGTGAAATTCTAAGATACAGGTTGCTTAGATAGGCAGGTATTTCTAGCTACATTTGACAGATGAGGAAATAGAGATGCAAAATACTAATGCCAGTGTATAAATCAATTTTTAGAAAAGGAATTGTGTGCTTTAGTCAATTTAGTCCCACAGACTTCAACAGGACTTGCATACAGTCCCACAGACTTCAATAGGGCTTGTGTACATGTTTGCACTTTACTGAATTGGGGACTTAAGTACATTATCCAAGGTTACATAGGAAGTCCCTGGCAAAGAAAATGTTACAAACACTGGTGCTGTTAGTGTCCTGTGCTCTTCCTGTTAAACCATGCTTTCCCCCTAGAGAAAGCCACGCTCAAAATGTTATAACCAGAAAGTCACCATGTATTTCCAGTCATCCATCTTGTGAAGACTATGGTTTAATTAGCTTTCTGTTGCCAGCCTGGTCTTGGATCCTCTCCCACTCAAGAGAAAATGTTCTTGCACTTCAAATTTTTCATGGGTGGTCTCTGGCCACAGTAGAATTGTTGCAGAATTTCTAGGTGTAGTGTACAAAACATTTCAGAGCTATGGCACTAGAATTCCCAGGTAAGGTTAAATATAAAAACTTACTGTGTGTAGGTATAGAAAACTTCCCAGAGAAGGTAGTGCAAACAACTTCAACTTTGTTTCCCTTAGTCTACATCTAGGTAAAGCACTGTTCAGCAATTACCTTAACCAGAAAAGGCAAAACTGGAGGGAGATATGGATTAAAGCCAGGATTCAGGCCTGTGTATTTTGTACAGCACCAAACTCAAGGGGGGAATACATGGTCCTTCCCCTAGGGAGCTAAAGGTTCAGTTATACTAAAAATAATCTGCCCCATGCAGAGATCAGAGAAGTTTTCCTACGTTCCACAGTTTGCTGGTCTGCCAGTTATTGGTTTCTGGGTTATCAAAGGAAAGTATTGTTTTCATCTTCAACAAGACTTTAAAAAGTAACACGGATATCAAAGTTAACTGGCTAAGTCTTTTTTATAGATAAAGAAGTTGAAACATGGAGCACAAGATTCATTCAACCAGACATTGATCCTCTCGTAACAAAAGGTCCTATGTGGCTGTATGTCTGGGACAAGATATCCCTATATCCATGCTATTGAATCCTGCTTTTAGCAGGGTGTTTCCAGCTACGTGGATAGTATCAAAACTGTACTTGGTCAATTATACCACAGTCCCTGGACACATACTTTTGTTTGTATAAATTACACTTTAGCAGCTGGCCGCCCTCAGATCCAGGAGTTGCAAGAACAGAACATAAAAAAGGTTTAAAGAAAGATGTGATCTGCGGTTTAATAGTTACACTTGCCTTTAATTCTGTTTTGCTCCAGATACAGTAGCAAGGACCTAAGAAGTTGAGCAGTGTACAAAAAGTAGGTCCAATATAATTAAACGTTCTTGGTAACTTAAAGACAAACGGATACATAGCTGAGTATTTTGTTTTTAAAGTAACTGTTCACTCTAAACAGGTTACTTTTTTTTGGTTCAAGATTTATCTTTAAAACTTATACTGTATATTTTACCATATCTACTTTTTACATTACCGCAAGCAAATATATATGAGGAAACAATGTTTAGAAACTTTGGCTTCTCCCAAAAAAGGTTATTTGAGAAGAATAAGCTGTCCTCTTTAAAATACTGGCTCCTGAAACATTTTAAATACCATTTTATAACAGCATATGCTGCAGAAACCTTACTTCTCTCCTCAGCAAGTGAAGATTTGTAATGCAGATGGTGAATTCAATAGTGCTCTCTCATTTACATGTTCAGAAACTTATATTTGTTTAGATTGGAAAATAATGGTCCAAGAAACAGTTCATTTCTGTCTTAATCATTTGAAAAGCTTCTTTCTTTTCTTTCTCCACTGTTTATTGTCCTTGTCTTCAGTATCATCAGGAGGGTCTGGCATTATGAAACCATCAGTCAGTTTATAATACACTATTGTGGAATCCGATTCAACTATGGCCAGGATGACAGACAGTGGTGAATCTGGTTTATCTAGCTGAGCACATGCTTTCTTCATGATCTCTCTTATCCTGACAGAAGAGAAAGAGAAAAAAGAGTCAAGGAGCAATCTAGTCATACATTTAAAAACAGCAAACCCAAAAGATGCAACACCACCTCTTTCTCACGGCTTATGTAACAGCAAATCATGAACATTTATTTCCAATGGATCTTTTGTCTTTTAAAGGATGTTCCTACAGGTACACACCAGTGATGATATTACTTAGTAACCAATTCATTTTACCATTCAAACCTTTTGGTATCATTAGATTAGCTGACACCCCTTCTGTTGTAAACCACATAAAAAACAAAACCAAAAAAAACCCAATCCAGCCGTCTGCCTTTGGTACATATGAATGTCATCATTAATATTTATAGGACAAGATAATAGGATGTTTTAGCTTACTGACACTCTTATGTTAATAATCATTGGCTCCTATGCATGTGGGGAGCCTGCTCTGATGCGCTGAAAATCCAGCGCATCAGAGCAGACTCAGTTAATCAAGTCTGCTGGAGCATGGAAATTCATGCGCTCTAGCAGCCCCGTGCGTCATGTGCATCAGCATCACCTCGCATCTTCATGCTGAAAAACTGGCAGCAGGGTGCTTTGAACTAAAACACGTCCAATGAGCTTTAGTTCAAAGTGCTCCGTTGTCATTTTTACAGCATGGGGACACATGGTGATGCTGATACATGTGATGTGCGGGTGCTTTTAATTAGTGCAGCTCGCTAATTAAAGCACCTGGCACCGCATCCAGGAGCATGTGTAAAAATGCCCTATATTTCTAGAGTTAAAAGAAATTCATTTCCTTTCTTAAATGCTAGAGAAAAATTAGAAGATGTTAACTTTTAGCTAAAAATTCTCCAATTGCACAGACTGCTGCAGGGAATGGATTCATTTTGACATTTCCAGTTACACCACCCAGGGATATATCAGTCGATTACATTCCTATCTTAATCATCTCTGCTTCTAGAGGTGCTGATACATTTGTCCCATATTGGATCAGCACTAATCTAAGGAAAATTGACTGTACCGGCAATCAGCTTTTTTTGGCTGATGTGGCCGATAATGCCGCCGATAAATGCCCTGTGCAGCACCGCATGCAGCTGGCCAGGAGCACAACCCGGCAGAAGGGAGAGCAGCCAGGTCTAGCCTTGTAAGTCTGTTGTGAGGGAAGGAGTATTGAGGGGGGAGGGTTGGGGAAATGACAAATTGAGGTCCCAGCATGAGAGAGTGAGGCTGGGGGAGGTGCTGCCCAGCCAGGGCGGAGCAGGGCACAACTCCCACCACTGCACACGCTCCAGGAGAGCATGGGGGGCACGTGCCATGCAGATCTGCATGTGGGGTGAGGGCAGGCTGCCACTGTGGGCTGGGATGGTGCTGGGCTCTCCTGACGGGGGTTGGGTCAAGCTGCGGCAGCACTGGGATGGGGCTATGGGTGGGGGGGCCTGCAATCACCCCAAAATTCACTGTAGCTCCCTCCCTCAGCACAGCTGCTGCCCACCCCAAGTACAACCCCCCTGCTGGGAAGAGCCCAAGTCCATTCCAGCCCCAGCCTGCAGTGGCAGCCTACCCTCACCCTGCATGCAGACCCAGAGGGCACACGACCCCCCATGCCCTCCCAGGGCATGTGCAGCAGCGGGATCCACCCACCCTCCAGACAAGCTGTTCACAGCTCCATCCCATGCTCCGCTCCAGCTGTGCAGCACCTACCCCTGTCCCTGCCCCCCCACCCCCCACTCCCTCCCTTACCACACGGTCCTTTATCTGCACCTCCCTCCTTACCCCTACCCCAACAGACTTACCAGCTGGACACTGTTCTCCAAGTGCCCAGCTGCATATTGGCAATCAGATCAGTATTGGCTGGTATGGCTCGTTAAAAAATTGGCCATCAGTATCAACCCAAAAGATTGCTATTGGTACACCCCTATATACTACTATGGGTTTCTAAGAGACCATTTGTCCTGACCTATATACGGTACAAACATATATTCACATGGCCCTCCTCTGCTTCCCCCTACAGGGTGTGTACATATGTGGGGAAAGGAAGCAGAGGAGGGCATTAGCATAATTTGATGTATGCCCCAGTTAAACACAGGGGCAGGCAAATTCTAGCCCATGAGCCACATCGGGCCCGCAGTGACTCCATTTCCCAGCAGTCCCCACATGTGTTGCGGCATCTGGTTTCCATGAAGACTCCAGGGGCAGTGGGGCCATGGCAGCACCGGGCCAAGGTTTCCATGGAAACTGTCCCCTGCAGCACTAGCAGGGCATGCAGCTGAATGAGGAGTTGCTCTGGGGCTGGGATCTTGCGACAGTGACGGTGTGGTCTGGAGCTGGAGCAGAGCTGCGATCCACTGCCTGTATACCCTGGGCAGGGATGTGCAAGATCCCAGCCCCAGAACAGGTCTTCCTCTGCAACCCTTCATTAAAAAATTAGAGGATCAAAGATAAATTAAATGGGATATGGTAGAGGATAATGCAGCACTGCCGACCTCTCCAGGCTGCTCGGGACATGACCCTTCCAGTGATATAATAGCAGTCTCAGAATTTGAACCCAGCTGTAGGACTGCAGTCAGACTTTGTGGGGGTGGAGTGGAGGTGGGTGGTTTGGAGTGGGTGCACTGGAGTGGGGGTGGGTGGTTTGGAGCCCCTCTGAGATGAGGGACTCCAATCCGCTCTAGCACAGGCTGGGCAAACCCCTGCCTGAGCTCCCTCCTCTCCCTTCTGCCCCCCCTCCCACCATGCAGACAGCACCAGGGACGGGGCTGGGCTGCATCCCCCCAGCCACTTGAGCAAACAGAAGTTAATGAAGGCGCTTCACTCTGGAGCACCTTCATCTGAACTCTCATATAGCGAGGGTTAATTTGTCATGTGATCGGGGACTTCTAAAGCTCTCTGCAACTGTGCACTTCTGTCAGGACATGACTGTAGAGCACTTTCAAGGGGCCGGTCATGTGACAAATGAAACTTCTGTCTGCACTCCCAATTACGCTATTAATAGGGCCTGCTTCAAAATGAGGTTTCTCTTCAGAGGCTTGCATACCATGAAACTAGAGTCACAATGGCACCCTCTAGTGACAGCATCTAATATAGTCAAAACCATAAATTGTGATTACTATTTTGGACAGCAGTATGGCATTGTTGTAATAAGTGCCACTTTTCAATAGATTAGTGAATACAATCTTTTAAAATGAAGCATACGTTTATGATAGCAGAATTACAGCATTTCTCTTTGCCATGTCAAAAATGGAACTGTACAGTACAATATATAATTAACTCAGTGCCTCAGGCTCCAGAATAGCCCTGTTCATCCAGAGGTTCAGGCTGCCTAGAAGTTCAGGGACAGATATCCTACACATGCCACCTTCAAGGGATTCATGCCAACAACTGCTTACTAAAACTGAAAGGCAGCTACATCCCCAAGAGAGCCTAGAGAACAATCAAGTATTTGTGCTGCTGGGAGCACAGTGGGAAGTCTGCTGAGCTAAAATATTCTGCAAGCATTTTCCCCCATTTTCTGAAGAAAAGTCATTGAATGTTAAAAAACAGAAGCAGCTAAGGTTTTGGGTTTCACCAGAAACAGATCTTGATCTTCAACAGAGGCAATGGGGCACAAAAATGCAGAGACAGGTAAGCTAGGGGGAATTAAGCTCTGCAGGAAGTGAGAAAATAAAAGAAACTCACTTTTCTGAATTATTGGAATATTCCCAGAGCAAGTGGCATTTTACTACTTCTTTCTAATGAAAAAAAAACCTTTCCCCATCTCTTAGATTTTTTTGCATTTTATCTCATCCATCCATGCCTGCAATTTTGCAGGGCAGATCCTGCTTCCAGCAAAGCCAGTGTGATCACAACTGGGCTCTGAATTTGTAAACAAAACCCTACCAACCACACAGGCCATCCAACTTGCAGGAGGTGAAATGGATTTCATCAAAAAGGCATTCATCATGGCTAATCCCAAAGAGATGGAGCCTTTTTGAAGCTCATGAAAGAGGCACTGCTGTACAAATCTACAATCTATAACAGTTGGCCTTTCTGAAGCCCTTTCCAGCACAGGGGCTTAAAGGGCTTTATAAATAATGAATTAAGACTAATAACTGCAAAGTAGGTATTCTAGCCATTTTACAGAAGAGTCAACTGAAGCAGTGAAATTACTTAGCTAAACTGTCAAATGGGATGTCTGTAGCCAAGGCAGAATTGCTACCTAGAACTGTGAAAGAGGCTAAACACAAGTCAAGGGCTTATTAGGCAGGATATTTTAAGTAGAAACTGGAAAGTGCTAGTATTATTGTACAAAGGCATTAGTAAGACCCAATTTCGAATACTGTATACCACTCTGGTCACTTGTAATTACAAAGAAGAAGAATTTAAACTAGAACAGGTACAAAAAGGGTTGCTAGACAGAGAAGCAGAGAATCTATCTTACAAAAAGAAAAATGGAATCTGGCTTGTTTAGCTTAGGAAAACAAAGATTGCAAGGGTAGGATTATTTTTTTAGAAATACAGTTGCAAGGTGAATATACCAGGAAGGGAGAAGAGCTATTAACCTACAAGAAAAAGAAAACAAGATCTAATAGCTACATGCTGGTCACAAAGAGTGAAACTGGAAGTTAGAAGGTGGTTTCTAATAAGCAAAACGAGTTAACTTGTGAACAGACTAGTGGTGGCAAGGAACCCAAACTGTTTCAAGACGGAGCCTGACACGTTTATGGAAGGGATAGAATGATGACTGGGTTATTCTTAGATCAAGGAGCAGTGACCATGTCTACACAAGATGCTGACTGTGTAGTTGTTACTGTACAGTCATTTAGTACTTTTATATACAGGTACTAAATGACTGTAGTAACTGGAGTTAATGCACAATAGCATTGCCAAACAGCTTAAGGTGAGTCTGGCTGTGCAGTAACTTGTTACTACTGTGCAGCAGCGTCGCATCATGCTTCATGCTACATGATGCTACTGCACAGTAGTAATGAGCTACTGCGTAGTCAACTTCTCATGTAGGCATGGCCAGTAGGTATGATAGAA